AACCAGCCACGGCGTGTGGTTTATTACTTTGGGGTGCAAACTAGATATTTAGAAGAGCACATGTGCAATTATTGAAAAACCACCGTTTCAAGGAACCAACAGGACGTTATTAAAGGGTTTTCAAAGCTTAAATAAAGAACTTATGAAGTAAATCAGGTGAATGTACATATAACAATATTTCGCTCCAATTAAGATGACCAATGAACCTACTGGACTAGAGACATATTGATGATCAGCTGTTATCTTTTGACTCAGCCCGCCATCAAATACTGTCACTATCACTTAATAACGGCTATTCCTTTTTGAAAAAATTAATATTAAGTAAGAAATATCCTTTCATCTGCTAATATCTATTTAAAATTTAAAACAAACCCCAAAAAAAAAATCAAATATAAAATCTCCAGGCGTTATAAAAGATATTCTCGGTATCTCTTCAAAGCACACGGTTACAAAGTAAAGGCCAAATCGGTCTGGAGAAAATGAATTTATCTTTCAAGGGTGTTTGGTTATAAGGGCTATATTAGTTTTTCTACAACGTTAACTAGGCCCTGGAACACTTTATGAATGCCTCATATAATACGAGTGAACAGGAGGAGCTGCGCGAAAGTAATGAGGGGTAAGTTCATTACTTTTGATAGTTAATTTTTACGGTTACGCCTGACGGAAACTGAAGTATGGTGTAGAAGTATGAACTTCGCCTTCTGCAAGAGCTTCTTTATTATCATTTTCATAGACTACAAAAAATAACCGATGTAATTTGGGTTTTAGGAGAAATAGAGGGTGATCTTACTAGTGATTAATTCGAAAAAATAAAAAAGTAATAGAGTCAAAAAATATGCTTGCTAAGAATATGAAAACAATCTTATAGCAAGCTGTAGCAATATTTTTTAAAGTATTGCTGCAATGATTTAAGGGGTGTTACAAGTGACTTTTTTTAGTGGTAACTATGTCTTTCAGTTCTTTTTTGTTGTCATTTACACTTCATACATTTTTTGAAGTGTTCTTGTTAATATTGATAAGGTTTTTAAAATAAATATTTTTTGAGTTTCTTATCAATTTTTGCAAGTTTTTCTTTTAATCAAGGTAGATGCTTTTTTTGCTTATTTTCTGGATCTAATTTAATGATATGATATAATCTATTTTTCTCATTGACTGAATTTACAATACCTGCAGTAATCCATTGCTTGCGTTTAATGTTACATTTTTTTATTTTTTTGATAAAAGTATTTTTTGTTATTAATTTCTTTAATAATGAAATAAACTCACGTACCAAAGTATCAACATCTGTTGTGTTATGAAAATTAGTCCAATCGTAATGATTTAAATCATTTCTTAAGTATTCATAATTTGTATAACATACATTTTTATTAGAATTATCTGGAATTTTTAAAATTTGAATAGGTAAACCTAGTATTCTAGCCCTATATCAGTGATGTTGTTTTCAAATACCATTGAGATACATTCAAATTCGAAATTTGGAATATTATTTTTTATAAAAATATGATCAAGACATTAGTCTTGTATTTTTGTTAATCATTGAAATAAAATTATATTCACTTAATAAATTCAAGTAATTATTTATAGTATCATTTTTTAAGTTAATTTTTATGTTTATATCACCTACCAAAAGATGAGAAAAGACCTGTAACTGGTTTGTTCTAGATAATGCCCGAGTTCATCTATAAAAATGTCTTCACTAGCTGATGGAGACCTATATAAACTAGTTATAATTATATTTTTATGTTTTTCAATACATAAATTTATCTGCAAAGATATTTATATAAATATAATCCAATGTTTTTTTAAATAAACCACTACCCCATCATTTTTGTTAAATGGAGAACCCAATCAATTTTGTTCAGATTTGAATATTTTTCTTTATATTCACCAATTTAATTATCATCCTGTATATGAAATTAATTATTTATTGAATTAGAATGTTTAATTTCCTATGCAATTAATAATAAACACGTTCCAATTTCGTTTCTAGTTCGATGTGTAAATTATAATAATAAAAATGCTGACTTATTTCAAAATTATTTTCAAAACATTGAACTAGAGAGACTGAAATTGGAATAAAAATATTTATCTAATGTACATTTAAATAATTAAATAATATTAATTGTTATTGTATATTGTTTATTCTGTGATAATATAAATGTAAATGCAAAACGAAAAATAAAGAGATTGACTAAGAACATGTGGTAGTTTACTTTACAAAATTATCTATGAAATGAGATTCATGAAAACCATCTTGTGGTATTAATTACAACAATTATCTTTGAAATCTAATCATGGTCCTTCGAGTCGAATAACTTTATAGATACTTGTGATGATGTCTTTACCTTTTATGCTAATGCTACAAATTTAATAAAAAAAAAAGCTTTTTAAAAATATATATAATCATGCTGTGTACTTACTAAATAATAAACCATAAACAAAAATAATGGCGCACAGCACGATTTTCTGCCAAACAGATCCGTTCGTACAAACCATTTTACAATACAAAGTTTTACTTTCCATTTTTTATTGTTCTCCAGAAATACATAGGTAGATAAAAATTTACATAATATCACAGTAGATACAAAGAAAAATGTAAATTTAAATTTCAAACCCTCTCGTATTCAAATATTTCCGTGGCAGATGAACACATTTAATACAGATTTATTTAATTATAGTATTATACGATACAATGTAAAGTTGAACGAGAAACCAAACAATTTCGAGAGAAACTCTATTTTATTATGAATTTTCTCAATAATTTTTGCCTCCCAGGCGCAAATGCGGGGATAATATGAAATTTTTCGTATCACGGCCCCGTATTATTAGCTTTATAATAAAAACTGTAGCTACGGCTCCGTTTTTGCTCAGGAAATTGAAAATTAAACTACACAGTGGAAAATATTTGCTTGGTATTATGAAATGGAGAATTTAAATATCTGTTTACGAAATATTATAATATATATATTTTTAGGATAACAAAAGAGTTTTACTTACTAAAAAAGTTTTGGAACTAACTCAATTTTGACGGTAAAATTTATAGTTATAAAAAAATATTTGGTTGATGTTGGTTATACAAAAAACTTGGATGTTCCATTACTAATTGGAAATATTCCAACTATAGAATTCAGAGCTCAAAATATGAAGATAATACCTCACTGAAAAAATGAGTTTTATGTACAGTTCATCAAATTTCTAGAGGCTTTCGACGGCTAGACAGAGAAAGCACTACTGACAGGCATCCCGACGGATTTACGCAATGAAAGTACACTCTGCGCATCAAGTATTTAACTATTTCATTCAGACGTAAATGTCAGATGTAAATTTCGGTAAAACATTTCTTTTATTTTCGTTTGTGTTTTTTGCTCATTACAGTTTAATAGAACCTAAGTATGGAGTTTAATAGCAAATTAAGAGGCCGCGTGATTAACAGTCAATCTCGCGAAATAATAGCCAATGTTACAGAGTTTATGAGAAGAGAAGGAAACTTTAATTCACCTTCAATACCATTTAAAAATGTAAATGATCGTGTTGCTGCAGCCACAGGAGTATCTAAAAACACTGTCGTCCGCATTTCTGGAGAGAGAAAAAGAATCGATAACCGTGAGATATCGGAATTTTCATCACCAAGAAAAACCATTAAAAAACCAAAAACAGTTAATGATATAGATGAAGCTGCACAAGAATCAAATTTTATTTTTTTATTATTAGATAGCTATTTTTGTTTCTGAGTTGTGTTCATTTACAGGCTCAATTTTTTTCCGTTTCTCCTTTTTGATTTTATATGGGGTTTCAAGTTGTTTTTGACTTATTTCGACGTAAATCACAACAACACACTTTTTAAATAAAGCAAACAAGTGTTAAGAGGTATATGTACGTGTAAACTACAATTACAAAAAATTGATATGAAACCCATGAAACCACCAACAAAAATGTAAAGCTAGCTTCCGTACTAGAACATGGTGTCATTCGTCGAGATAATTTATCGTTTTGTTTAATAGATCAAGAAATGTAAATATTCCCCTGTTATTTTTTATAAAATTATAAGAGAAATAAATTTTTTTCTAAATAGTATAGTTTATTATTTTGTAGAAAAACAAAATTTCGAAAATTTTAGTAATGTTTCAGAAACAACCGTTATTAATATTTATAAGGTAGAAATAAAATATAAACTATTTCCACGATTTACAAAGGCATACAAAAAAATTATAGGTATTTTCCGCTATCCTATAAAATTTATATTTTCTGACTCAATTTCAAAAGGTTGAAGGAATTCCAAAACACCTTTTATGGCATAATAATTATTTTCAATTCTACATACTATCTTTAGCTGCTTTTAAAAACGTTCTAAGAAAGTCCAATTAGACTAATTTAATCCCTAAACTATTCCACACTTTTAAAATTTAATTACCTAAAAATATTAAAAACTATTTAAAATAACTTGTTTAGCAGACTGTACAATAGCTATCTTAGTCACACGTAGCGCGTTCTCTGTCTAGGCGTCGAACACCTCTAGAAATTTGATGAACTGTAATGATTATACGATATTTATTTGTATAATGTTTAAGGTTATGGTTATGGGGTCCTGAGCTGTAAAATCCGAGGGTAAATCTTTTCTTTTTACTTAATAGTTAAAACGTTATATCTCTATCCTATATATCCTTTAACGGGTCTAATTTATTTTTTACACCTACAAAATCTGGATAGAGTAAATCATAATACATACGTTAAATGTAAAAGCAAAATATATTTTCGAATATCATCCTTAATGTACTTAAAATTTAAGGTGTTTTTTTTTCGCTAAATTAAAAATAAACAGTTATTTTGACTGACAATTTTTGAAATAGAAGTACTGTACATATTTAAGTTGACTATTCATTAATATAAAACCAGGAAATTCTTTCCAAGTCCATTAATTTTTTTTTACACATTTTTGATTAATCCTCGTACATTACTCGACCTCCACAATTAATAAAGAGAAAAAAACGACAATCACTCACCTATAGAGCGGCTCGCTGACGGTTTCCTTAAACCACAATACCATGGCAACGGCATCGTCTCTATCCCTCGTCCTAATATCACAGGGCAGATTCTGCTTCTTGCCGAGAACACCGTGAACTTCCTCCATTGGGACTGCAACAATTATTCGTGTTACTATTGTTCAAATGCCTTTAGTTGGAAAACTTTCATTTAGGGCTAAGGGCGTATAATAAGGCTCAACTTTGATGATTAGGAGGGCTCGGTAGCGGGATGAGGTTTGGTCTAATGTTTGTCGCATTATAGTATGGTTGAATTGGAGTTCAACGGGCTATTTTTTCTTTGGGAAGGAAATGTCTTTATATAAGATTTTCCTGTGTAATTAGTTGGAACAAGTTGAGTATAAATATCATCTAGGAGAAATGTTAATAATAATATTAGGAAGATGTTTAATTGTTTCAACTGACAATCAACTATAATAGAAATAGAAATAGAATTTATTCATCTTTGAGAATTATACACTGAACAAAAACACTAGGTACATAATGTAAAATCCTATCAGACTGGTCAAAAAAGTGTTAAGTAAAATACATTAAAAAATAAAATAAAATATATATAATAGACAATTCATGTTAAGATTAGTTTAAAAGTTCAAAAATCTTCTATACTACAAAATACATTATTTACAAGAAAATCATTAAAATGTTTTCTTAAATCATTACGACTAATTTGATGATAACCTGTAGTATCTTCTAATATGTTACTGAACTTATTGTAACACTTAATCCCAATATATTTTGGTGAATGCTGGCTAATTTGTAGTCGTGAAAAAGGTTGATGGATGTTAAATTTTAATCTAGTATCATATGAGTGCAAGTCTTTATTTCTCTTAAATATATGCTTATTTTTATGTAAAAAATTAGTTGAAAAATTAAAAGGGAAGGTAGTGTTAAAATTTGCGTTTTCTTGAAAAGTTCTTTACATGATGTTGTTGGTATCACCTTATACATGGCTCTCAGATCCTTCTTTTGTGATACAAAAGCTCTTTCAAAGTATGGTGAAGAACCCCAAAATATTAACCCATATTGTAGAGTTGAATGAACCAAACCAAAATAGCATAGTTTTAAAGTATCAAAAGATAGTGTCTCCCTTAATTTTTTGATGATATAACAACAAGTACTTAATTTTGAAGTTACCATTTTGATATGAGCTTCCCAATTTAATTTGGGATCTAATATTATTCCTAAAAATTTTATGTCACCCACGCTTTGAATAGTTTTTCCGTCAACGTGCAAGTAGGGTTCGTAATCTGGAAATATGTTTTTGGGTAAAGATTACATGAAGTTTGTTCTTGTTACATTTAATGCCAGACCGTTATCTTTACAATACTGGTTAAACTCACGAGATGTCTCGTTGCTACTTTGAGTGACCTCTTCAATTTGATCATCTGCCATTACAATATTGGTATCATCGGCATATAACTATTTGGTGAGAGCTTAAACAAAAATTACTTATATCACTTATAAAAACTATAAAAAGTTGTGGGCCACCTTGAGGAACTCCTATTGACCATGGAAGAGGATCAAATTTTAGACTATTTGTTACAATTACTTGAGTTCGATTTATCAAGTAAGACTGTATCCATTCATAAGGTTTCCCTCGTATTCCTAACCCATTCATTTACAATAATAAAAGATTAGATCCACCATATCAAATGCACGGCTAAGGTCATAGAAGAGTCCCAAAATATGTTTTTTATCATTAAGTGCTTGATAGTGCTTGATACCAACACCAGTAAAACTGTAGCATTGTCTTACAGAGGTACTTTACAACCTATAACTTTAAACAATAATCTGATCCAAACGGTGACTTCAATCAAGTTTTTAGGTCTTTATATAAACGATTCTCTAAAATGGTCTGCTCATATAGATACCTTAGCAAAAAAATTATCCTCCGCATGTTTTGCCATTAAATCGGTTTCTAAAGAGCTGACTCCTTCTACTGCATTAATAACCTACTTTTCCTTATTCGAATCTCACCTTCGCTATGGTTTACCTTTCTGGGGTTCTTGTAGCTTATACCTTTTCGAATCTATTTTTAAACTGCAAAAAAGAGCAATCCGCTATGTATTTGGTTTAAGTAGTAGGACACATTGCGAAAATTACTTTAAAAATTTCAAAATTCTAACCCTTCCTGCTCTATTTATTTTCGAATCCGTCTGCTTAGTTCGCAAGCACATTCAAAATTTATCCGAAAGACCGACTCGTAGATATCCTACAAGAAATTTAGAGACTGATGTTTATTTAACAATGCCCACTTCTGACCTATTAAAACATTCCATTACCTACAATGCCAAAAAATTGTATAATAACCTTCCGATGCAATTAAAATCTATAAATACATACGATAAGTTCCGAAGACTGTCTAAAGCTTTTCTTCTAGAAAGACCATATTACACAGTAGCAGAATTTTATAACGTACCTTAGACATTTGAGTTCCACATACAATGGCATTAATTAAATAATTAAATATTAAAGTTTAAATTTAAATTTAAATTTAAATTTAAATTTAAATTTAAAAATTAAATTAGAATAATTATAATGACGGATATTGCATATCCATTGCAATTGTTATTCCTATTTTGTCTGTTTGTTTCTGTTTGTTTTTTCTGCTGTTTAGTTATTTTTATATGTTTAGTATTTAAGTTACACGCTTTGTCTATAAAATTTTTTGTAAATTTTTTTACGACAATAAAGCATATCTCTCTCTCTCTATATAAACTCTAGGCAAGCTGCAATTGCAGTAGATGTTGACTTATTTTTTCTAAATCCATTTTGAGTATCTGGCAACATATTAAAACTTTCAAGGTAATTAGTGAGTCTAATAAAGCATGCTGACTCAAATATTTTAGTTATTTGACTAGATATACAGATTAAACGATAATTTTCTATATTAGATGCAGATCCCTTATTTTTATAAATAGGAATTCCTTTAGATTCCTTCATATTTGGAAATAATCCCGAAATAAAGGATTCATTAATCAAATGTCATATGGGTTCAGCAATACAATGAGCAACCGATAACAGAATTTTACCATTTATTTCGTCAATACCTTCAGTGGGTTTAGAAGTAGTTTTTTTTGATTATAGTGATGATTTCACTAGGAATTCTAGGAAAAAGAAAAAAACTTTTAAGATGTTTATCAATACTCATAGTATAGTTAGGTACAATATTATTTATATTTACATTAATAAAATATTCATTGATATAATTTACTTCTTCTAAGGGTGTTAATTTGTCATCATTTGTAAGTTTAATAGGATTCAATAAGTTGTTTTTTATTTATTTATTGTTTTGGCCTTTACTTAATGAAAATCCATATTGTCTTAAATAAGTAAAACCAAATTTGGTAGATTTTCACAAAACTTTTATTTAAAAGAAAATAAAACTTAAAAAAAATGTTTTGTGAAAATCTACCAAATTTGGTTTTACTCATTTAAATTGTTTTTTCTTTTTCCCCTACTTTCGTTTATTATATTCCAGGATTCTTTCAATACGTTATTACTTTTTAAAATACGATCATTATTTTTTCTTCTCAAATATTGTTTTGATATTTTTTGATACTCTTTTTTAAATTATTGTAACGTTCTGTTTAATATGTAGAATTTATTTCTTTCTTTAACCTGTTCATTTCACATAATAGATTATGTAACTCTTTAATATGAGGTGGAAACTGATTTTTTAATTTTTGTGGTTTTATCGCTTTCTTTGTTTTCGTAAATACAATATTGTAGTGGTATAGGAATGATTAATAAAAGATAAAAAATTTATCATTAAAATTAGTAGATGTGTATACTTCACGCCAATTTTCAACTGATAAAATATTTATAAAAGTTATTGCGTTAGGATTACTTAAATCTCGTTTATATCTGTATTTAAATTCGTTATTTTCAAAATTAGGTAGTTTAATCTAATTGTATAGGAACATTAAAAAAACTTAAAAATTACATAAAAAAATTAGCCTTGTTCGTGATTTGAACCGTTGATATTTCAAACAGAAAGTCAATACTCAAAATGTTACGGCATCATCTTATTCCCTTTTTATGGCTTAAAATTTATTATTGAAGTCAAATGTGATACATTTGTAAAATTTTCGTAAGTTTGTGGTGTTGTCGATCCTTTAACATTCCACAACAGATAGAGCAGGTTGAATCAAGCAGAAAAATAGGGTAAAATTTAAAGTAAATCATTTTAAACCGATGCAAAATAGAAGCTTTTGCCTTAGAAGGTTATAAAATAAATAAAAAACGGTAAGTTTTGTTACCCATCTTCACACCAAGCAATAAATTACATACTACAAATCAGAAAAATCAGCACAAAATCTTATTGTCACGTTCATAACTATACTGACTTTGTAATACATTGTCCTTATATTTATTTAAAATATGTTAATCCCTCTAAACCATTCTAGCAAATAAACAACAATTATTCTACCCTACTTACCATCAGATTATAATTACTAGTTCATCAATTACTAATTAATAACTTATTGTTGGTACTAAGAAACAATTTACATGAGTTTCATGACAATAATTAGGTCAAATCATTTCCTCAGTTTGCTGTTATAATCTATAGGCAGATATAGGTACAATTTATTATAAAACACTAGGCGTTTATTAAAATAATATTACATTTAAATAAGAAAATGATATTTCCGTAAATTTATTTTGATGCTAAAAATAACGTTAACTTGATTTAATTTTAAGATAATGAAATCATAATAAGTTTATAATAGTGTACAATGAATTATAAGTTAATAAAAATTTTGAGAATCAACATATCAAATTTGAGTTCACATGCAATTTTATATCATAAACAAAGTTCTATTGAGAAAAATTTTACTGGAAACTTTTAGAATGGAGTCAGTCAGACTTTCAAATTGTTCTCCTAAACAATTAGTATTTTTGAACATACCACACATATATGTACAATACCATCGATATAATATTTCTACTATTTTTTAAACATTTACGTCTTATCAACACATGGCTGCTTTTAAAATTATATTTTCAGGTATTACCAAAGGAACGATAATATACTTTGTAGAAACATGTTATTGGATTTTGAAAGCGTGTACGCCAATGAATCCATGTGGCTTA